ACCATGTCAAGTGCTTTCTGAGCCTTGGCTGTCCACTCGAAGTGGTCAGATTTCTTCAGGAGTCGATAAAGGGGGAGTCCTCATTCACTGAGGCGTGAAATAAATCGGCTGAGAGCGGCAAGGCACCCTGTGATCCGCTGAACCCCCTTTATGTTTTGAATTAGGCCCATCCTTGTGATGGCCAATATTTTCTCTGGGTTGGCTTCGATGCCACGCTCAGAGACGATAAAGCCGAGCAGCATGCCCCTCGGGACCCCGAAAACACATTTTTCGGGATTGAGTTTGATGCCATTTGCCCGGAGTATCGCAAAGGTTCGTTCAAGGTCGGCGACAAGGTGGTCAGCTCGCTTGGATTTGACTATGATGTCGTCGACATAGGCCTCAACGGTTCGCCCGATGAGGTCTCCGAAGCAATTAAGCATACAGTGCTGGTACGTTGCCCCTGCATTCTTCAGACCAAATGGCATTGAAGTGTATCAAAATGATCCAAAGGGCGTGATAAAAGATGTCGCGAGATGGTCGGATTCTTTCATCGCGATTTGATGGTAGCTGAAGTATGCGTCAAGGAGGCAGAGGGTTTCGCACCCCGAGGTGGAATCGACTATTTGGTCTATTCGTGGCAAAGGAAACGGATCCTTTGGACACGCTTTGTTGAGGCTGGTATAATCGACACACATTCTCCATTTCCCGCTCTTTTTTCGGACAAGAACAGGATTTGCTAACCACTCTGGGTGGTATACTTCCTTAATGAATCCTGCGGCCAGTAGTTTGGCTATCTCCTCGCCAATGGCCCTGCGTTTCTCCTCGTCGAAGCGGCGTAGGCGTTGTTTCACTGGCTTGGAGCCCGGGAGGATTTGGAGAGTATGCTCGGCGACCTCCCTCGAGATGCCCAGCATATCCGAGGGTTTCCACGCAAAGATGTCTTTGTTGGCGCGGAGGAAGTCGACGAGCGCGCTTTCCTACTTGGAGGAGAGCGCGGTCCCGATATGGACTTTTTTGCCCTTGGAGCTGCTGGGATCTAAGAGGACCTCCCTGGAGCCTTCTGCCGATTCGAACGAACCGGTTGATTTCTTTGCGTCGGGTGCCTCTTCGACGACCTTCTCCCTGAGGGTGGCGAGCTCTTTGGAGGCGATGACTACGGATGCGTGTCCGCAGCATTCGACCTCGCATTCGTAAGCGCGCTGGAAAGAGGTGCCGATGGTGATGACCCCACGGGGGCCCAGCATTTTCAGCTTCAGGTACGTATAATTGGGAACGGCCAAGAACTTCGCGTAACATGGTCGCCCCAAGATGGCGTGGAAAGTCCCCAGGAACCCCACTACATCGAAGGTGAGGATCTCAGTCCGGTAATTGGACCGATCCCCAAAAGTGATGGGCAGGTCGATCTGCCCCAGTGGTACGGCTTGCCTACCAGGCACGACGCCATGGAATGGTGCTCGGATGGGATGGAGGTTTGTTCGGTTGATGCCCATTTCGTCGAGCATTTTGGCGTACATGATGTTGAGGCTGCTACCCCCATCCATCAGTACTTTGGTGAGCCGCTTTGGACCGATGATCGGATCGACGACAAGCGGGTACCTTCCCGGGTGTGGGACGACATCCGGATGGTCGGTCCGGTCGAAGGTGATGGCGGATTCCGACCACCGGAGGAAGGCTGGCGTGGCCGGTCTGGCGATATAGACCTCGCGACGGGCGACCTTCTGGCGGTGCCTGGAGTCGTAGGCCGTTGATCCTCCGAAGATCATAAGGGCGCCCTACCCGATCGAGGGTTATCATCCCTGTTGTGGCGAGAGCGTTCCCTAGATGGTGCACCTCTACGGAACCTCTTGCGATCACAGCCACGGAAAGACTCCTCAGGCTTACGCTTCCTCTCCCTGTACTCTTCTCCAGCTTCAGCATGGTCCTTCTCAATCTGGATGCAGCGGTCCACCAGAGCACATAGTGTGTTACTCTCAATACCGCCAAACTTCAGCTTGATGTGCGGGTTAAGTCCCTTGTGGTAATAGTATAGCTTCTCCTTCTCAGAGTTCACAACATAGGGAGGTGCATAGCGCAGAAGGTTGGTGAAACGAGTAGTGTACTCAGTCACATTATCCTTTTCCATCTTGATGTTGCGGAACTCCTCGGCTTTGGCCTCCATGATACCCTTGGGAATGTGATACTCAATGAATGCTTCAGCAAACTCATCCCACGAGATATTGGCAGTGTCGGTGTTTCGTACAAGCTCCGGCAAGTAAATTTATAGTAATGCGCGTTAGGCTCGGATGGTGCGCTAAAGGACACAAGATTTATACTGGTTCGGGCCGAAAGTCCCTACGTCCAGTTTGTTGCTGCTCATGTTATTAGCACCGTGAACGGTTTGTAGTAAGGGGTACAAACGATTGAGAGAGGGACTGATCCCAAGTCTCTGATGGAAGGGTTGAAGGGATGTCAAGAGGTTCGTCCCAACTTGACTGTGTGTATCTGTGTGTCGTATTGTTCGATCTTTTTTCCCCTCCTGTTTATGGAGGAAGCGCATCCCCTTTTATAGATGAAGGGGATGGCTTTACAAGGGTGAGGGCTTTAGGATGCGTACTCTACTTAGTCTTGTGGCTCACGTCTACCCGGCCTTGTTCTTCATTCTGATGAGTGCGAAGGAAGATAAGCGCCTACAATACTGTCGATGTCTCTGTAGAATGTCAGGTTGGTTACAGAATGCTACCCTGCGCAGGGTATGGGCCACAGTACAGTGGTTTTGACTTTTGAGCCTCCCCCAGCCTTGCTCCGCACGCCTTCTGGTTCCTATGAGTTTTCGTCGGAGGGACGCGGGGTCGGGGTCTGGAGTAGCGCCGTGGCCAAGGTCTTCTGTCTTGGTGGACCTGAGGGGTCAGGAAGCGGGCGCCGCTCCCTTGGGTCCATAGCGTGGTGACGGAATATCCGTCGTTCGTCGAGATAGCAAATCCTTTTCTGGAGTGTAGCGGTTGTCGTATATCTTTGTCGGGTTCCGTGTCCTAGAGCTGAAGGCGGCGCCTACAACTCTACAGGGTGGAGAGCACGCACCTGTAACACCTTTCGGGCTCTGCGGCGCCTAGAAGGGCCTAAAGCGCCTGTCCCGTCATCCCCTGGCAGTACTTTTCCTGCCAGGGTGCAGGGTATGGTTCTTGGAGCCACGGTTGACCTGAACGTCTTGTCTTGCCCTGTCTCTATCATCTTGAGGGAATAGGGAAAAGTGGTCAGGTAAGATGAATCCAATCTTTAGATATGGAGCAGAGGGAGGCTTGTTCCTTGCCATCGGGCGAAGCGGAGACCAATCCCTATCTCCTGAGCGAGACCGACCCTGCTCCTCCGGGGTCGGGCGAGGCGGAATCTATCCCTTAGCCCTCGGGCGAGACCGAGCCCGCCCTAAAGGCGTCGGGCGAGACGAAGACCAGTCCTGTGCCCTCGGACGAGGCAGAGCCACATCAAAGGCGTCAGGCGAGTCGGGGTTTATCCCTCGGCCTTTGGACGAGATCGAGCTCGTCCAAAAGGCGTCGGGCGAGACGGAGACTAATCCTCGGCCCTCGGGCGAGACCGAGCCCACCCCAAAGGCGTCGGGCGAGGTGGAACCAAGCTCTTGTCATTCCAGTGAGGGGTGAAGCAACGCTCTTATGCGTCCAGAAGTTTTTAACGTTCGGTGGTTATTGGTTCTACCTTCTGGGGTACCCCGTTATTAGGTCCCCGACAGGCAGGGTCTTCATGGGAGTCACTAAAACTGTCCCACCAAGCATGTGCTGCACCTATGAGCTGGTGTGCGGTAGCTCCAACACACTCATCGTCGGTGAAAGTAGTGAGGTCAAGCTTCTTCTCCATTTCCTTGAGCCAGTCATCGGCTACAAGCGGGTCAGGGTTGGTGCCATCATAGGTGGGTGGCCTTAGCTTCAAAAATCCTTCTAGCTTCCTTTGAAAGTCATTTTGCTGACCTCCCTGGCGATGGTTTGCTCCTTCAACAAGAGCTGCAAGAAGCTAGGTCTACTGCGCCATCACTTCTGCCAGGTTTGGTGGTGCTGGTGGCAGAATGTTCTCCACAATAGGCGGTGGGGTATTCTCTAGGTTGAAGGGTACCCCTCCGTGTCCATGGCCACGGCCACGGCCATGGTTGTTGCCACCACGGCCCCCGTTGGGTTCGGCTGGTTCGGGGATGGGCGCACGTCTACGGTTCATTAGGCGAGTAGATCGGCGGTTCGGCATCTGCAACACCGATCATAAGAATTTTAGTGCTTGTGCCATAAGTGCTTATAATTCAATTATGATTACATGATTTCGATGATTTAAAGAAAATCATTTATACTATCCAACACTCATTTCAAAGAAGCAATAAGATCCATAAGATGCAATAAGATCCAAATCATTCATTACATGGGTTTTATTACATAGCATCATCTCCAGTAGCTACACTTGAAGACGTGCGAGAATCGTACTACGTATAGCGTCTCATAATACACCTCATAAAGGGGTACATCACGGGGTACAACTCATGGAAGCTACTGACATATCTCATGACCACGCA